ACCTTTTCCTGATAATATTTTATCTTTTCTACCTTATCAAGTCATCGTCAGAATTATAATTCAATTTATAAAGTTTACTTCAATTCTATTAGATCTTGTAAAATAATGTCACTATCTTTTTTATTTTTTTTTTCATTTTTTTATTCTTATTTGTTATTTATTGTTATTACTATTTTTTTATATACATTTATTTTTATTATCTACCCATCTTATTATCGACCCATTCTGTTCATTTCATTTCGCCATATCACTTATTCTAATGTGATGTACCGATGTCTGTTATATATTTATGTGTGTTTGCGTGTGTGGGTGTGCGTGCATGTGTGTTTGCGTGTGGGTGTGCGTGCATGTGTGTTTGCGCGCGCGCGTGTGTGTGTGATTATCTGGTGGAAATACAGAGAGGAAAAAATATATATAATTACTTTTTTTACTTAATTAACGTTTTTTTCCTAACGGTACATCTCTGTGCAATTGAACAAGCAAGAGATACTGAGTAAACAGACTTTCACAACAGCTCCAAGTTATTGCCTCAAGTTGAAGAAGTTAATGTTGTTTCACCTCCTTTTTATCATCATCACCTTCTTCTTCTTGTTGTTCACCTGCTCCTCCTCTTCCTCCTCCTCCCTTCTAATTTTCATTCTCATTTCCTTAATATTGTTATGAGGTAGAGGAAGAAGTTTGATATTATTAATGTTGAACCGTTGTGTATTTACCTTTTTTATTCGAATGTTTTTTAATGTGAAAGAAAGGGAGAAAAAATGAAGATTAGAAGGAGGAGGAGAAGGAGGTGTATAGGAGAAGGACGAGGAGGAGGAGGACGCGAATAAGCAGGAGGAGAAGGAGGAAGAATAGGAGGAAGAGGTGATACTGGGGGGAGGGGGGAGAAGAAAAAGGAGAAGGAGGAGGGGAAGGAGGAAGGGAGATCGAAGAGGAAATGTAGGAGATAGAATTAATGAAATAAATAATATATTACAAAAAAAATGAAATAGTAAACAAAAGAATAAAAAGGTGAAACAAATGTGACTCAGAATACAAAGAGAGAACAAGTAAATTAAGGAGATTGCAATTACAGGAAAATGACCCTTGAAGTAATCTAATTATCTCCTTTCCTTCTCTTCTCTTCCATTCCTTCTTCTATTCTGAGCCTCCACCACTATCATCATTATCGTTTTCTCTGTCTTTCCGTTAATTTGTATCATTGTAGTTCTTGGTATTATCATTATTGTTGTTATTACTATTAATATTACTGTTATTATTATCACGACTACTATTAATGTTTTTATTATTACAATTATTATTATCATTATTATTGCCATTATCATTTTGTTATCCTCATTATCATTATTTTCAATATCATTATCATTGAATTGGTCGTATCATTGACAATATTCTCATTATTATTATCGTTATTATCATTATCATTGTTGTCATCATCATCATTACCATCATCATCACCATCACAACCATCATAATCATCATTATCATCATCATCATTATCATCATCATCAGTATCATCATCATCAGTATCATCATCAGTATCATCATCATAATCATCATCATAATCATCATCATCATAATCATCATCATCATAATCATCATCATCATAATCATCATCATAATCATCATAATCATCATCATCATCATTATCATCATCATTGTGGTTATAATTATCATCAATAACAGTATCAGAATTACCAGTGGTAGTAGCAATAGTGTCATTATTGCTATTTTCACCATTATTTTCATTGATATTATCATCGTTATTAATATTACTGATGATATTACCAGTAGCATTAATATGATTGTCGTTATCATTGTTATTATTATCACTGTCATTATTGTTATTACTATTACTACCATCGTCATTGTTACTATTATTGCGATCATTTTCATCATTATGGTTGTCATTATTATCATTATCATTATTATCATTAATGATACTACTAATAACATAGATAATAATACTGATAATGATAATCATAATGATAGTAATAATCATGATAATTATAATAATGGTAATGATAACAACAGTGATGGTAACAATAATAATATCAATAATACTTATACTGATAATAATGATAATGATGATAACAATAATAATAATAATAGTAATAATAATAATAATAACGATGATGATGATAATAACGATGCTTAATAATAATAATGACAATAATGATTATAATAATAATGATAATAATAATTATGTTAATAATGATAACAGTAGTACTGCTGCTGCTACTACTACGGATAATAATAATAATGAGAGTAACAGTAATAATAATACGAAGAAAAATATCATAATAATAGTAATTACTATAATTATGATTTTAATTATGATATTGATAATGATAATGATGATAATAAAAAGAAGAAAAACAACAACAACCATAATAACAATAATGCTGTTGATAGCAATGACAACATTAACAATGAATATTGTAAGCAATAATGAATGTATGAAAATAAAGATATAATGATGGTAATGTTTTTCGTCTTTTGTTGTTGTTGTGGTTGTTGTTGTTGTTGTTCATCAGTATCCATATCCAACAGTGTTTTCCGATCAACTGCCCAAATACCTAATTAGCCTAAACTTTCATCTGTCACGGCTTCATCGATATGTTCACCTTACTGCACTTCAGTCTCATAATTGTGATATATTAGCGTAAACATATGGATAATTATGTTACAGGACAAAGTTCAAACAAGCAAAACATTTATTAACCGCTTGTTCGGGCAGTTGTTCTGGAACACATTTGGACGTGCATGGGAACACTTTCATTAGTGGCATTGGCATAAGTGGGAGTGTGATGATGATGATGACTGTTCAATGATCATGATTATGATAATGAGAATGATGATGATAATAGTCGTAGTAGTAGTAATAGTAAAGATGATAACAATAACGGATACAATAATCATAATAATAAAGATACTGCTAATAATGAGAATAAAGATAATACCATCAACAATGTTATTAATGATGATAATAAAGATAATAGTAATCATATTAAATGATGATGGAATAGTAATAACAATGATAATAACAAAAATATAAGCAAGATGGTGATAGTGATGATAAGTCATAATGATTGCAGAGTATCATTGATAATGACAATTATTGTTATCATCATTATTGTTATCATTATTATCATTTATGTTATTTATATTATCAGTATGATTATCATTATTATCACCATTCAATTATCCCCACCATTATTACTATGATGATACCATAGTAATAATAATAATTTCAATAACAATAACGATGATAATGATGGTGATGATAATGATAATAAGAGGCACAAATAAAAGAAATAATGATGATCATAAAAAGAATCATCATAACAACAATAATAATAAAGAGGATAATAATGATAATAATGATATCACTACTATTATCATTAATAGTAATAATAATGATAGTTATTATCATTATTATGATAATAATGATAGGAACAGTAATGATTATAGGAACAAACTAATAAAGATGATAGTAAAAATGATAACACTGAGAACGCGAGAATGAAAGAACATGGCAAGAGAAATTCAACAAATGAAAATGAGAAGGAGAATAAGAAAGGAAGGAAAAAGTCAAGAAAAGACGGAATAAAAGTAGAAAGAATGAGGAAAAAAAGCGAGGACGCGAGAGAACAAGGCGCAGAGAAAATCGGCTCGGGAATGGGAATGGAACGGGAATGGAACGGAAATGGCTGGAAGGGAAGGAGGTATTCCATGCAAATGCGGCAGCGAGGTGTCTGCTTCCAACGTAATGCTGATGAAAAGAAGAGAGATGGGACAAAGGACGAGAACTAAGGGCGAAAGGGGGGATGCGTGAGGGGGGGGGGGGGGGAAAGCTAGGAATGGGTAGGTGTGTGTGTGTGCGTGCGTGCGGGGCGGGGAGAGGGGGCGAGGTCGGAGTTGGGAAGGTGTGTGGAGTTGTGTGTACGTGTGCGGCTGTGTGTGTGTGTGTTTGTGTTGTGTTAGTTTGTGCGTGTGTGTTGTGTGTTTGTTTGTTGTTTGTTTGTGTGTGTGTCTGACATCCTTAGTTTTCTCGCTTTCTGTCCAACTTCGAGCGGCCTTTGAAATCCTTTGCTTCTTCTATTGGCGTGTCTGCGTCTCTTCCCTTTTCTCTTCCTTTCAACACCAGAACTCATCTTCGACTTCCCATCTCATCTTCCTATTTCTTTTCCCCCTTTCTTTATCATCCTCTTCATCACCATCGCCTCCACCATCATTACAGTCATCATCTCCGTCTCCATCACCACCACCACCGCCACCATCCCCATCACCAGCCTCATCGCCCCACCATCTAACCCCCCCCCCCCCCCACCATCTAACCCGCTCTCCCTCCGCCCACCAGCTCCAGAACGAGCGTCCTCGACCCTGGCGTGGGCGTGGTCGTCAATACGATCCACCTGCGGGCGCTGAAGAAGGAGGACCTGCGGTCGACGTACACGTGCAAGGCGGGGAACCACGACAGGGCGCCCACCAAGGAAGCGGCCGTGGAGATCGACATGAACTGTGAGTATGCGGGCGTGGGCGGGGATGGGACAGGATGGGCGGGCTGGGAATTGAACTCGAGATTAGCTCTGTAATAATGATGATAAAATTCATGATAATGCTAATGATGAAAGTGATGATCATAATAGTGATAATGATAATGATAGGCATTAGAATAACAATAAGGATTATAACATAAACAACAGTGTTAGTAATGACACTGATAATGATAATGATAGCAATAATGATGATAATAACGATACTGATAATGATATACATGATGCGATAATAATAATGATAATGATAATGATAGTAATGATAACAATAAGATGAGTAAGTATAATAAAAAAAACTATATTAAGAAATACAGTATAGCAACAAGAGCAACATCAATAATGGTAATAACAATAATAATAATGATAAGAATGAAAATGATGATAAATTGATAATCATAATGAAGACAAAATAAAGAGAAAACTTCCATTCGCACACAGTGAGAT